TTGTAACGTTAAGCGAGATACATCATCGTTGATCATTTCAACGGCTATAACAGTCCCTTGAGTGCCATGGAGGAACTATTGTTAATGGCACACTAAAAATACAGATTAGACATTATAAAAGTTATTATAATTAATGTAATGACATTTAAACTATGTTTTCTTTTTTGCTGTTTGTTTATTTTTTGACTGATCAGAAATCTCATTTTGAATTTGATGACAGCAGGATATCGCAAAAAAACGTTGGAATAAGGGAACAAAAGCCTGTAAAAGAAAGTTGTACTGAAAAGAAAAAGTCCACAGAGCAAGGCAGATGTACATACAAAGCACTAAATTGATCTAGCCCATCTAGTGGTCTATATGTAAGTACAGTGGAACCTCGACTTACGAAATAAATTCGTTCCAGAGCGTCTTTCGTAAGTCAAAATTTTAGTTAAGTCGGAGCACCTTTTCCATCGCCTTTTGAGTGAGGAGATGCTGGCTGAAGACAAAGTTCTTGGTGGAGGCAGACCTTGCTCATATTTGTCAATAATTTCTCTCTTTGTTTCCATCGAGAGCACCTTACGCTTCTTCTTCATTATCATCAAATTTCCCCATTAATAACGGTGCTAATCTATGAAAATAGCGCACTGCACAATAGTCTTTTTCGGCCCCATTATGAATGAACGGTAGGCTAATTGCATATGAGAAGCACACGAAATAGCGCACTGCAACAACGATATGTCTTTCATATGGAACAGCAAAACGCAAGTACAAAAGCCAAGGGGTTATCACATGATTTGGAAGGCATTGTGGGAATTCTGGTCTCTGCCAGCAGATTTCGTTATGCAGGCATTTTGGAGTACCATGGGCAGAAATACTGCCGTTAAGAGCCTTCGTAACTTGAATTCTTCGTTAAATGGGGTCTTCGTAAGGCGGGGCTCCACTGGATGAGAATTTTATATCTAATTATAAAATCAACTGTAAAGCAGAAAAATAAAAAGCGCTTCAATGTTGCTTACTACAATGCATTGGGAGCCTGGCTGCAGCATTTTGTATCACTTAGAGATATAAATAAAGCTTTCTTTTCTAAGCTTGTAAACTAGACATTACAGTAATCCACCACAATGACACAAATGCATGAATACTTTATGCATTTACGGAACAGTGCACATGTTCCACTTTGACGGCTCATCTCCAACAAAGCAGACCTGTGATCACTTTGACTCAGGATGATGGATTGTTTGGATTTGTCTTTGTTTCTTTCGATTGTCTTGTGTGTCTGTGTGTTTAAAAATGGGTAAAGTACTAAAACAGAGCTTTTCCCCGTTTTCTAATAGTAAATTGCCTTTACTTTTACTTGACTCCCGATCTAGAACTTTGTAGAATTGTGTAGGCGAGTGGAAGATGGGGCGTACTGGCTGTGCAGAAATTAAGGCCGAGGTGGGAAATAAATTCATATTAAAGCTTGTGTGTATGTTCAGTTTTTATATCTTCCTGGTTAGAAAAAAATAAGCCAACATGGAAGTGCGATGAAGTTGCATTGTAATGTAAGGCCAACAGATATCGATAGCTGTGACTGTATAACCTTCCAGTCTGTAGAAGCTTACACTACGTTTCAGGAGCAGGATTATCTCTCATATTTTCCCCTCGTTCATTGGCTAAGAAGTTTGCAGTCACACATCTCTATGCAATGAGTGAGCAGTTTCAGTCAGATCCGCCCCTCTTCATCACAAATGTTGTTTTGCAAACAAAATAGAAATAGAGCAAACGTTAGTTTTAAGACTAAAGAATGAGTTTTCACAAACGAGCAACATATGTTTGGTGTATAAAAGAGTGCAACAGCATCACCTATACACTGTAGGCCTACCAGCAATATAGACACAATACACCAAATGTTTTTGAGTATTTCCCTGTAACCTTACCTTCTGTACATTCTCATTTCCCGTTATTTGTTTTAAGTCTTTGCAGCTCAGAGGGGAGTGATTGCCATGATGTTATTGGGCAAAGCACAAATGTGAAAGGGAGCAAATATGAACTGTTTAATAAATGAAAATAATAAATGGTGCACAAAGCAAAAAGCAAAATGTTCATTAACTATCCTGTCAGAGCCCATCATCCTGTGTTAGATAGCTGCAGAGGAGCTGCTGGTTTTTATCATGATGAGTGCTGACATGGATGCCTGTGGGAAAAATAAAGGTGATGCTTTATACAATATGTGAATGATAGGTGGTGCAACCCCGGCCATTTGAGTAGTAAAGCATTGATAGCGTAACGCACATCACTGTTGTCAGTGTGTATCGACTATCATGATCACCACCAC